CAGACAATCATTTCGCGCCTTTTTTCCTGAGTTACCTGTGCAGACGCCATACCACAGCAAGCATGGAGCCCGCTCAGGTAACCGTCACCCTATGTCTCCTGGGTGCTGGCAGACGCGGTACGGCTTTGCTGCACAGTAGCAGCAACCCCTTGCCTTCTGGCAGCAGACGGTGCAATACGATTGGTAGTCGTCCTCATCGTGTCCGAGGTGCTCCTGGCCGCGTCGGCTGGGAGCGCCTGGGCAGACATGGGCGCAGGGACTAAATTTGGAGTGACTTGACCAGGTCATTCTCTTTAGTCCTGCAGTCAGTCCTATTGAACCGTCTTATGGTGAGCAGGCAGGCGATACGGACTGCTAGCAGTCGTACTGTACCATCTTCTGCCAGGCAGGCAAGAGATGAGGATTGCTAGCAGTCGTATTGCACCATCTTCTGCCAGGCAGGCAAGAGATGGGGATGGCTAGCAGGCGTACTGTACCATCTTCTTCCGAGCAGCCATGAGATGTGGATGGCATGCAGTCCTTCTGCACCGTCTGCTGCCAGCCAAAGATGTAAAAGATAGATGGAGTGGGTCAAAACAAGAAATAGACCAGATTTGTTTTGTACTCATTTGCCTCCTCCCCTGTCTAGGGGACTCATTCCTCTAGGTCACACTGCAGTCACTCACAGAGAAGGTGCAGCGAGGTAAATCTAGCCATGTATCAATCAGAGGCCAGGCTAACCTCCTTGTTCCAATAACAACGATAACTTAGGTGCACCATTTCTTATTGGAACCCTCCGTGCAGTCCTGCCTGAAATACTCCTTGATGTACAGGCACCCCCTTTGTTGATTTTAGCTTCCTGAAGCCAACCCTGTAAGCCGTGTCGTCAGTCGCCCCTCCCTCCGTCAGAGCAACGGCAGACAATCGTTCCGCGCCTTTTTTCTGTGCGGACGCCATACCACGGCAAGCATGGAGCCCGCTCAGCTCACTTTGGCAATTAGGAGCACATTAACCACCACACGCATTATTCAGCAGTATATGCAGCACCAGAACATGGCAACGCGATACCGGGCGAGGAGGCGACGTCAGCGCGGTCCCGTGAGTGATCAGGACATGGACACAGATTTCTCTGAAAGCATGGGCCCTGACAATGCATGCATCATGGTGCTAATGGGGCAGGTTCATGCTGTGGAACGCCGATTCTGGGCTCGGGAAACAAGCACAGACTGGTGGGACCGCATAGTGTTGCAGGTCTGGGACGATTCCCAGTGGCTACGAAACTTTCGCATGCATAAGGGCACTTTCATGGAACTTTGTGACTTGCTTTCCCCTGTCCTGAAGCGCATGAATACCAAGATGAGAGCAGCCCTCACAGTTGAGAAGCGAGTGGCGATAGCCCTGTGGAAGCTTGCAACGCCAGACAGCTACCGGTCAGTTGGGAATCAATTTGGAGTGGGCAAATCTACTGTGGGGGCTGCTGTGATGCAAGTAGCCCACGCAATCAAAGATCTGCTGATATCAAGGGTAGTGACCCTGGGAAATGTGCAGGTCATAGTGGATGGCTTTGCTGCAATGGGATTCCCTAACTGTGGTGGGGCTATAGATGGAACCCATATCCCTATCTTGGCACCGGAGCACCAAGCCGCCGAGTACATAAACCGCAAGGGGTACTTTTCGATAGTGCTGCAAGCTCTGGTGGATCACAAGGGACGTTTCACCAACATCAACGTGGGATGGCCGGGAAAGGTGCATGATGCTCGCATCTTCAGGAACTCTGGTCTGTTTCAAAAGCTGCAGGAAGGGACTTTATTCCCAGACCAGAAAATAACTGTTGGGGATGTTGAAATGCCTATATGTATCCTTGGGGACCCAGCCTACCCCTTAACGCCATGGCTCATGAAGCCGTACACAGGCAGCCTGGACAGTGGTCAGGAGCTGTTCAACTACAGGCTGAGCAAGTGCCGAATGGTGGTAGAATGTGCATTTGGACGTTTAAAGGCGCGCTGGCGCAGTTTACTGACTCGCTTAGACCTCAGCGAAACCAATATTCCCACTGTTATTACTGCTTGCTGTGTGCTCCACAATATCTGTGAGAGTAAGGGGGAGACGTTTATGGCGGGGTGGGAGGTTGAGGCAAATCGCCTAGCTGCTGGTTACGCGCAGCCAGACACCAGGGCGGTTAGAAGAGCACAGGAGGGCGCGGTACGCATCAGAGAAGCTTTGAAAAACAGTTTTATGACTGGCCAGGCTACGGTGTGAAAGTTCTGTTTGTTTCTCCTTGATGAACCCCCCACCCCTTGGTTCACTCTACTTCCCTGTAAGCTAACCACCCTCCCCTCCTCCCTTTAATCATTGCTTGCAGAGCCAATAAAGTCATTGCTGCTTCACAGTCATGCATTCGTTATTCATTCATCACACAAATAGGGGGATGACTACCAAGGTATCCCAGGAGGGGTGGTGGAGGAGGGAAGGAAAATGCCACACAGCACTTTAAGCACAGCACTTTAAAAGTTTACAACTTTAAAATTTATTGAATGACAGCCTTCTTTTTTTTGGGCAATCCTCTGTGGGGGAGTGGCTGGTTGGCCGGAGGCCTCCCCACCGCGTTCTTGGGCGTCTGGGTGTGGAGGCTATGGAACTTGGGGAGGAGGGCGGTTGGTTACAGAGGGGCTGCAGTGGCAGTCTGTGCTCCAGCTGCCTTTGCTGCAGCTCAACCATACACTGGAGCATACTGGTTTGGTCCTGCAGCAGCCTCAGCATTGAATCCTGCCTCCTCTCATCACGCTGCCGCCACCTTTGAGCTTCAGCCCTGTCTTCAGCCCGCCACTTACTCTCTTCAGCCCGCCACTTACTCTCTTCAGCCCGCCACCTCTCCTCCCGGTCATTTTGTGCTTTCCTGCACTCTGACATTATTTGCCTCCACGCATTCGTCTGTGCTCTGTCAGTGTGGGAGGACAGCATGAGCTCGGAGAACATTTCATCGCGAGTGTGTTTTTTTTTCTTTCTAAGCTTCACTAGCCTCTGGGAAGGAGAAGATCCTGTGATCATTGAAACACATGCAGCTGGTGGAGAAAAAAAAAGGGACAGCGGTATTTAAAAAGACACATTTTATAAAACAGTGGCTACACTCTTTCAGGGTAAACCTTGCTGTTAACATTACATACATAGCACATGTGCTTTCGTTACAAGGTCGCATTTTGCCTCCTCCCACCGCGTGATTTTGGTTGAATGCCAGCAAACATACACTGCAATGCTTTGTTCTACAGTGATTCCCCAGTACGTGTTGCTGGCCTGGAGTGGTAAAGTGTCCTACCATGAAGGACGAAATAAGGCTGCCCTCCCCAGAAACCTTTTGCAAAGGCAGAACCGCAAATGCCAGGGCAAAGTAATCCTTTCACATGCTTGCTTTTAAACCATGTATAGCATTTTAAAAGGTACACTCACCAGAGGTCCCTTCTCCGCCTGCTGAGTCCAGGAGGCAGCCTTGGGTGGGTTCGGGGGTACTGGCTCCAGGTCTAGGGTGAGACACAGTTCCTGGCTGTCGGGAAAACCGGTTTCTCCGCTTGCTTGCTGTGAGCTATCTACAACCTCCTCATCATCATCTTCTTCGTCCCCAAAACCTACTTCTGTATTGCCTCCATCTCCATTGAAGGAGTCAAACAACACGGCTGGGGTAGTGGTGGCTGAACCCCCTAAAATGGCATGCAGCTCATCATAGAAGCGGCATGTTTGGGGCTCTGACCCAGAGCGGCTGTTCGCCTCTCTGGTTTTCTGGTAGGCTTGCCTCAGCTCCTTCAGTTTCACGCGGCACTGCTTCGGGTCCCTGTTATGGCCTCTGTCCTTCATGCCCTGGGAGATTTTCAGAAAGGTTTTGGCATTTCGAAAACTGGAACGGAGTTCTGATAGCACGGATTCCTCTCCCCAAACAGCGATCAGATCCCGTACCTCCCGTTCAGTCCATGCTGGAGCTCTTTTGCGATTCTGGGACTCCATCATGGTCACCTCTGCTGATGAGCTCTGCATGGTCACCTGCAGCTTGCCACGCTGGCCAAACAGGAAATGAGATTCAAAAGTTCGCGGTTCTTTTCCTGTCTACCTGGCCAGTGCATCTGAGTTGAGAGCGCTGTCCAGAGCGGTCAGAATGGAGCACTCTGGGATAGCTCCCGGAGGCCAATACCATCGAATTGTGTCCACAGTACCCCAAATTCGAGCCGGCAACGTCGATTTAAGCGCTAATCCACTTGTCAGGGGTGGAGTAAGGAAATCGATTTTAAGAGCCCTTTAAGTCGAAATAAAGGGCTTCATTGTGTGGACGGGTGCAGGTTTAAATCGATTTAACGCTGCTAAATTCGACCTAAAGTCCTAGTGTAGACCAGGGCTAAGATAGATGAATTAAAGCCCCTTTATGTTACTCCAGCCCTTTTACCAGACATAAAAGTATGGGTGAGAAGCCCAGGGTGTGTCAAATAATGAAGCCCTCAGCTCTAGCAGAATTGCTTCTAGTGTTTCAGCCCACCATACAAACAGAATAGAATAGTAAAGCAGGAGTCTCTGAAGGTGTATTTGTGAAGTAGAAATACCGTTTTCCCCCAATAAATGAAAATCTTACTACAGCCAAAATAATGTTTTGCCTCCCACAAAATGTTTTGCATTACAGAACTTAAACATACTAGTGATAAAATGCAGTATAGCAATTTTAATTAAAAAAATGCATGATGAAATAGGAATAACTATTTTCAATTAAGCTGTCTTAGATCTTTAAGTAGTTGCTTTTTTAAATTTTTTACAATTTTAGTATTCTATATACTATTGCAGGGCAGCTGTCTTTGAATATAAAATTTGTCAGCTGATGAAAAATTGTTCTACATTTCTAAAAGGAGAACTACTTCAATTTCTTCAAGATTAAGTCTTACTTGTTTTCATGGGACCAGAAATTCATATAAATCGTACAGGAAAATACAGGAATCCAGAGAGATTATATTACTACTCTAGCCAAGTTTCTCCATCACAGTCTAACTTACAGCTGGTCCTGCAGCTCTACAATTATGTACTCCAGCTGTTCCTTCTCCATTTTATGGGCTAGATCCATATCTTCAATCCTCTGTAGCAGTAGTTTGTTTTGTGAGACAGATTCAGCCAGCTGGGTTTCTCTGAGGCGTACTAGCTCTTCAAGATAACCCTGAAAATGCAGAAACAAACAAAAACCTTAAGTGAATAATAAATGGTTACTCATTGTATGCAGTAACTGTGGTTCTTTGACATGAGTCCCCCTATGGGTGCTCCACTCCAGGTGCGCTGGCATCCCCTACACCTTTGATCGGAGATTTCACATAGCAGTGTCCATTAAGCCCATGCATGTGTATTACTCAATTTTGTACTCCGTGCTGTTATATAGCACCGCATGGGTGAACCAACCTCAGTTCCTTCTGTACTGCAAAGCTCCACAGCAGAGAACTCCAAAGCAGAGGGGAAGGAAGGTAGTTAATGAATCATCCAAAGGAAGACAAATCTCAAAGAACCAGTTACTGCACAGAGTGAGTAACCATTTCTTTTTCTTCAAGTAGCGTCCCTATGGGTACTCAAGTCTAGATGACTAACGAGAGGTTTCCTCTGAGGAGGAGGGGGCTTCAACATCATTGAGTCCAATATCAAAGAAAATATAGCTAAGCCAAACACAGCATCGGAAGCAGAGTCCTGAGCAGTGTCCCTCTAATTTTTCCCACCCATGTGCGGAATGAATTTAGTTATGTGCACCACTATGGAGGTGATGTGTGACACACAACAAATTCATGTGGTGGGGTTGAGGAGGGGGCTGGGCCATGGTTGGGGTTCGGAGTGGGAGGGGGCTCAGGACTGGGGCAGAAGGTTGGGTGCAGGGGGTGAGCACTCTGGCTGCGGGTGCAGGCTCTGAGAGGGGACCAGGGTACAGGAGAGTACTCCGGGGCTACAGCGGGGGGAGAGAACTCCCCCCAGCTCTCTCTCCCTGCAGTAGAACCTGGGCTGTGTAGGGAGGCGCCTCTCCCCGCCCAGAGCTCTGGGGCTGGGGCTGCAGGATAGGCGCTCCTCCCCCAGCCCCAGCAGGTCTGGGCCAGGGGAGGGCTGCCCTGGGCCATTCTGGTAGCGTGGGCCTGGTTGGGGCTGGGCCAGTCCACCCCAGCAGGTCCGGACCGCAGCAGAGATGGAGCTGGGGGAGGGATGCCCCGGCCACGGCAGGTTGGGTGCTGGGGGAGGGACGCCCCTCCCCCATCTGCAGGAGGTCCCCAGTTTGGTTTCCTGAGCGCCTGCACAGTGCTAAATAGGCAGCTGCGCAGCTTAGGTCATGAGTTATTGCATAATTCTCAGCAAACATTTATAGAGGTCTAAGTCATGGCTCTACATATTTCAATGATGGGAACATTATTGTGAAAGGCTGTAGAGGCTTAGAATGAGTGTGTGTGTTTGAGGGTGCTTGAATATTACGCAGTCAGCCAGTTGGAAAGTCTTTGTTTAGAGACCAGACCCTTTTGATCTGTCTGCAATCAAGACAAATAATTTGGGAGTCTTTCTGAAAGGTTTAGACCTATCAAGATAGAAGGCCAGGGCTCTCCTAACATCAAATGTATAACTGCACCTCTTCTTTGCTTAGGTGAGGTTTAGGGTGGAGGACCAGAAGATGAATGGATTGGTTAATATGGAACTCAGAAGATATTTTTTGTAAAAGCTTGGGATGTGGTCATACTGTTGACCTTGTCCTTGAAAAATACTGTGAAAGGTGGGTATGCCATAAAGGCCTTTACTTCCCCAACTTGTCAAGTGAATATGATGCCTATCTGAAAAAAATGGCGGAGAGAGCAGGAAGCCATCAGTTCAAATGGTGATCTTGGAAGGCATTTAAGAACCAGACTGAGGTCCCAAACTAGAGGAGGACTAGTGGAAAGAGATTTTTGTGCCCCCTGAGGAACCTCATTGTTGTTGGGTAGACAACTACGGAATAACCATCTACTGGAGAATAGAAAGCCATGATGGTTGCTAGGTGGATTCTAATGGAGCTAAGCAAGAACTCCAAGTTTTTAGTTCTAAGGTGCAGTTCAGTATATCTGGCACAGATACGGTTGTTGGTGGAATGTGTTTGAGGTCACACCAGCAGGCAAATCTTGTCCATTTTTGTAAGTAAGAGTAGTGCGTAGATCATTTTCTGCTGTGTAATAGCACTCTTTTTACTTCCTCTGAGCAGGTTGTTTCTAATCCCGTTAACCACTGAGCAACCACGCTTTGAGACAAATAAATCTGAGATTGGAGTGAAGGATCTTCCCACCTTCCTATGAGAGCGGAGGCCTGGAGAGTGATCAATGAGTAAATGGCCATCTGTATCAAGCAAGGGAACTATGTTTGTCTGGGCCCAGTCAGAACTGTTAGAATAACTCTGGCCTTTTTCATTTGAGTAGAACTTTGGATATTAGAGGAGTTTGGGGTGGGGGTGGGGAACACAATAGAGCCGACAATCAAAGGTGAAAGGCAACCCCCAAGGATCAGTGATCACCTCTGAAGCAGAACTAGGTGTTTTTCTTGTTTATTGCCATGGTGAACAGATCTATTTGAGAGGTGCATCACTGCTGGAATATGTGGTGCAGTATGATGGGATCTATTTCCCACTCATGGTCTTGAAAGAAGTGCCTGCTAAGTTTCTCTGCGGTCCCATTCTGAACTCCTGGAAGGTAAGCTGCTGTGATGATGACCTGATTGCATATGCACCAATTCCAAAGCTTGACAGCCTCTGTGCCAAGGGAGCAGAATTTTGCCCTGCCCTAGCAGTTGATATAGCACATGCATGACATGTTGTCCCTCATGTGTCCCTTTATGTGTTTGCCCTGATTAGTGGTAGAAACTGGAGACAGGCATATGTGACTGCCCTGAGTTCCAGGAGGCTGATGTGCAGAGTGGTTTCTTGAGGTGTCCACCTGGCCTGGGCCATGTGAATGTCCACATGTGCTTCCCAACCCAGCAGGGATGCATCCGTTGTGATAATTGGGGAAGGGCGGGCGATAGTGACTCCTGCACACATGTGAGGGTTTTTCCACCAACTAAGATTCCTTGACACAGATGGGTGGGGAAAGTAATGTAGTTAGACTTTGTTGGGTAAATAAACAGTCATGAGCCACCCTTGAAGGCACTGCATTCTGAGTCTTGCATGGTCTATAATGAAAGTACCAGCTGACATGCATCCCAACAGCTGAAGACAGTTCTTGGCCAGGGTTTGAGGGATAATCTGGATTGTGCTGACTGTGTTGGATAGGGCCATGAATCTGTGCATTGAGAAGTGGGCTCTTGCTGCTACTGAATTGAGATAAACTCCTATTAATTCTAATTGTTTAGAATTAATCCAAGGTGGATTTTTGAAAGTTCAATTGTAGACCCAATTTGAGGAAGAGGTCTATGGCCTCACAAGTCGCCTGTGAAGTTACATCCAGGGAGCCACCTTTCAGAAGCCAATTTTCTAGTTAAGGAAACGCTAAAATTCCTTTTCTGTGGAGGTGTGCCACTACTACTGACATGACCTTCAAAAAGACCTTTAAGGCAGATGATAGGCTGAAAGGGAGCACCCTGTATTGAAAATGGTCCAGACTGACAGTAAAACATAGAAATCATTTGTGAGATGGGTGGATCACTATATGAAAATGTGTATCCTGAAGGTTGAGGGCTGAGAACCAATCCGCTAGGTCCAGTGATAGAATTATTGCTGCAAATGTCACTATTTTTAATTTGTGCGCCTTCACAAAGGTCTTTAACAGCCTTAAATCTAGGATGGGTCTTCAACCATTTTTTTTTGAACCAGGAAATACTTGGAGTAAAACCCCTTCCCTCTGTGCTGCACGGGAACGGGTTATATAGCTCCCAAAAGTATATGAGAGTGTCTATTTCTTGTCATGGCAGGTTCTCGTGAGAGGAGTGGTTGAAGATGGATGGGGAAGAAGGCTGGGGGGGAAGAATGGGGAAGAAGGCTGACAGATGGAAGACAAGTAAAGTGGATGGAATGCCCTGTAGAGATGATCTCCAAAACTTACTTGTCCATACCTGCTGGAAGTGGTAAAGGCGGTCATTGAAGGGAGGAAAGCAGATGAATTGATGCAGCTGGTAAGAATGGGAATGGTAACTCAGGACCTTGACCAACCTCCCAAAATTTGTGCTTGGAGATGGAAGGCTGTGAGTTCAAAGGTTGAGAAGCAAGTGGTTTTCTTGACTGGAATCTGTCTCTTATGTTGAGGTATGTACGATCTCTGGGAGCTCAAGAATTGGGCGGGATGGGATCTTTGCGCCATCTGGGACTTATTAAAGTCTCTCTTGTTGGCAGGTGTTTAGATCCCGAGAGAATACAAAAGTATCCTGGAGTCCTTTAACAGGCGCAGAGATTCATTCATGCTGTCAGTGAACAGTTAAATACAATCAAAGGGTAGGTCTTCAATCATAATTTGGACCTCCTTTGGAAATCCTGAGAGCTGGAGCCAGGAGGTCCATCTCATAACTACTTCTGTAGTGATCGAACAGGTGGCAGTATCAGCAGTGTCAAGGGAGGCCTACAAATACATTCTGGTGAGCAGATGGCCTTCCACAATAATTTCAGCAGGTAGGTGCTGAATAAAAGAGTTCAACTTGGTATAATTTGTAAGACTGTATTGCGCCATTAATGCCTGGTAGTTGGCAATTCTGAATTGTAAAGTAGCTCATGAACACAATTTTCTAACAAACTGGTCAAGGCACTTATGATCCTTGTCATAGGGCGTAGATTTAGCGTGGTGCTGCCTTCTGCATTGACCACCAAAAAGTTAGAAGAGGGACGAGAAGTAAAAATTCTGAGACCTTTTAGACAGAACATAATATTTCTTATCTGCTCTTTCGCATGTAGGTGGAATTGTGGCCAGGGTGTGCCAGGTAACCTTTGCAGGGTCCAGTAAGGCCTTATTAACAGGCAAGGCAATGCAGGCAGATGTATGGAGGATGTCAAGCAACTTACAGTGTTGTTCTTTAACCTCCTTAAGAGGTATCTGCGAAAAGTCCACAGTTCTCTTGACCAGTGCCTGACACTGTTTAAAATCAGGGATGGAGGAGGTGGCATAATTATTTCATCTGGGGATGAAGAAATAATGTTGGCCAGTGGAGAGACGTCTTCATCAGTGCTAGCTTTCTGTTTATCAAAGGTTTCTT